AATACCCCCTTGGTTCTTAATCTCGAGAAGAGCTACTAATTTTGCTTGGTCGATTTCAGCGCTTCAAGCAAATACCCCCTTGGTGAGGTAGGAGCTCCGTCAATTTTCCGTCAATCGGATCCGATCCGTAGGCGATCCACGGATATCGACGTCCCCGGCACATGCAAAGATCCCGTACGAGCAGAAGACCGATAAACGATCTCTCTGCGTTTGTTTGATAAATTTGTAAACTTTTTATTTTTATTATGTAAGGAGATCTTATAAAAAGATCAAATTTTTATTTTATTCGAGTTAGATTCAATGACAATGAAAGCAACTTTTGAACCAAACAGCATTCATTTAATCAAGCTGGGTATCTTCATAAGACTTCAAGTTCCGTGAAGTTTTTTTACTCATGAGACTTCCAAATGGCTCATTTTAGTTGAAAAAAACTTCACGGGATTTAAAGTCCCGTGAAGTTTGAGCTGAATTTTCAAATGGCTCTGTACTCAAGTAGTTTCCTGCAACACTGTGTTTTCCCTTTCAATTTCACTCAACTCTCACTCTCCTTCGCTTTCCTGCCCAAAGTCATCGTTCTTTATCAACCTAACCGAGTTTCCAATGTCCACCCGTCGGCGAACTCCCGACAATCACCGACGACATCGGGCTCCGAGGCACGTGGCCAACACTCCACCATCATCTCCTACTCTACTCTCGTCGTCGACGAGGCCTCCCTCAAGCCTCTCGAGGAGAAGATCCTTCACACTATGATACAGCCGTTGCCTCCACCGGCGAATCCGGCCACTGATTTCGAGCTCCACCAGTGCATTGAGACGTTCTACAACGGAGTCTGGTGGAAGGGAGTGGTGACCGAAGTGCTGGAGAGAGATGGAGACCTACTGTATTCTGTTTGTTATCTGACGAGCAGGGAGGAGTTTCAGTTCAAGGCATCGGAGATCAAGAGGCAAATGAAGTGGGCGAAGGGGGAGTGTATTAAAATTCAGCTCAAACTTTACGGGACTTCAAGTCCCGTGAAGTTTTTTTCAACTAAAATGAACAATTTGGAAGTCTCATGAGTAAAAAAAACTTTACGGGGCTTGAAGTCTCGTGAAGTTACGCAGCTTAATTAAATGGCTGCTAAACTTCACGGGACTTCAAGTCCCGTGAAGTTTTAGACTTTTATTTGTCAAAATCGACCCAGTGCTAGACGGCTAAAACTATGTTGATTTTGATAAAAATTTTTAGAATAAGTTGGTTTTGACAAATTTTTTTTTAAAATAAGACGGTTTTTAAATTTTGACCTTTCGTTGTCGGTCACGTTTTAGATTGGTGAAGGATGCAACCCGATTGACAAACTATCCAATAAATGAATTCCAATATATAGATGCTTCCCTCATAATTTTGCTGTGAGATGACACAATCTCTAGTTTTTCATTTAGACTTGTAGCTTCTAGTTGATCCTGTCATTATCATTAGTATATTCTTCCATCTCTATTCGATACATTCTTCTATGGGTATGTATTTGTTGGTTTCCCACAATTGTAGGAAATAGATTTTCATTTTTTAAAACATATTCCCATGCATTTTGTGTTTTCCTGAAAAAACACTGTTTCGATGTTTGTTTCCCATTAAAAATTGCTAAATATCTATATTGGTATTTTAGTTCCACCCCATTTATCAAGAAGGTATTTTAATTATGCAAACATGCTTTAAGACATTTTAATTGATTCAACTTACCAACAAGGCCCTTTTTCTCGTCGGCGACCAGTTTTCCGGCGAGATCTCGTCACGTGCGTGGCACGTGATGACTTAAACTGTTTTTAGCTGCTGATGTGGTACGAATTTTCTAATGTGACAGTGTTTAAAGACGAGAATTAACCCTCTAAAAATCTCAATTCACCAAAAATAGGACAGATCTGTGTCACATTAGCAGCTAAAAAACAATTTAAGTCATCACGTGTCACGCACGTGACGAGTTCTCGGCGAAAAACTGGTCGCCGACGAGAAAAATGACATTGTTGGTAAGTTGAATCAATTAAAATGTCTTAAAGCATGTTTGCATAATTAAAATACCTTCTTGATAAATTGTTGGTAAGTTGAATCAATTAAAATGTCTTAAAGCATGTTTGCATAATTAAAATACCTTCTTGATAAATGGGGTGGAACTAAAATACCAATATAGATCTTAAAGCATGTTTGCATAATTAAAATACCTTCTTGATAAATGGGGTGGAACTAAAATACCAATATAGGTATTTAGCCCATTAAAAATAATGGTGGAAACCTATTTCCATAAGATCTATTGTTTGGTTGTTAACACAAAAGTAAGAAATCGAAACAAAAATAAATAAATAAATACATTTTACCTTTCTTACGTTTGGAAGACAAGTGGAGAAAAATGGAAAACATGAATCACAACTCCTTGGTGAGCTTATCCCCCATATAAGACAAAATCGAAGATAACACCCAATTCTTTCATATTTTGATATTTTAGACCCCCAAATCTTTAGTTTTTGAAAAGATACCTTCAAATCGTCATATGTTTAAATTAATCCCCCAAATGGCATAAGTGTTTTGAAATTAGTCCTTTTTGAAAAGATTTGGGCAAATAATATTAAAAAAATGAAGCTTTTTGGGGATAAAAAAATAAAAAATAAATCTTCTAAGGTAATTAGAAATTTTGAAAATTTGGGAGAATTAATGAAAATATGAAGATATTTGGAGATAAATTTGGAAAAAAGTTTTTGGGACCAAAAGCGCAAAACACTTGAGATTTGACGGACTAATTGGAGATTTTGAAAATGTAGGAGGCTAATATGAAAATATGAAAGAGTTGGGAAGATCAATGTGTGAAATGATGAATCACGGGACTACCTCACGTATTCAACGAAAGTTCCAGTCTCATGCATTCTAAAGTTCTTTCGCTCACTCCTCTCCCGCTAGTTTTCAAAAAAATAAAAAAAAATAAAAAAAGAGAAAAGCAATCAATGTAGTAGAAGTATCACCCCCAGTAATTGTTAGTACAGTATCAATAATATGAAATTCTGATCAAATTCTAGTGCAACCATATGCTTATGTGATGAGCATCAGGTTTTGGAGCGTGATTATGAAATTTTCAAGTGCTTGCAGCGCCACTGAAGCTTACATATGGGGGTAAGCATCAGATCATCTTCAGGTGATGATTGATCATGAGTTGAACCGAGGACGGTTGACCGTTCTACGTTCACGTCACAGTTTCCCCAAATTTGCTGATTGACTTGATTATAGAACGCGAATGCAAGCTTAGGGCATCTCCAACGCAACGGCAAAATGCCGCTGTGTTGAACTGTATCATCTCCAATCATGTCTTATTTACTGTGGCATTTTTGTGCAGATGAACAGTGCGACGCCAAATATGGCGTCACACAGTTCATCCGTGGCATTACTGTTCCCTTTTTTTTTAAAATTTTTTTTTATTTTTTTACCTCTTAATAAATAAAATATTATTTTATTATTTTATTAGTTTAATTTTTTAAAATATTAATAAATCATTTTGTTTGAAAAATATGTGAAAAAAATAAAATTTGATATGTGGGATTAATTGTTGAAATAGTTAAAAATATAGGGAACAGAAAATAATAATATAAAAGTAGATAAAAAGAATATTCTGAGAATATTCTTTTTTGGTGCAAAAAAATGATGCAGTTAGTTAGAGATGAATTACTGTTTAATGTTAATTTTGTACCATTTTGATACAAAATTTACACCATTTTAGTACAATGGATTGGAGACGTCTAAACCTATCAACGTATCCCAAAACCTGCAGCCGCCCTCACAAATGTACACTACGCCAATGACTGACACATAATTAAATATGGGGATCCTACCAGAAGGGGTGAAAAAATATCATCATGACACAAGACGGAAATTTTGAGGTGGAGCTGGGCAGCGAGTGCAATTTCAAAGTTGAAGGGGAGTTATTTGCTGAAGTACAAGAAGAGGATCAGAGTGGAGTCTGGGAAGCGCAAGAAAATGAGAGGGGGTGAGTAGAGGGGGCTTCTTGTTTATTTTGGGATCAACGAGGTTGTGTGGACCGGGCCAGTGTCAAATTTCGCCAAATGCTCGCGGTGCCCGTGTGTGCCCGACTGCCAGAGTGAGAACGTGGAGGCGGTGCTGGCGGCGGAGTCATTGATATTCGTGAACTTCTTGTCTTTGTGAATGAGGATGTGTGCGGCTTTGCGTTTTCATTGTCAAGAATTTGTTTAGGACAAATTTTTAAGTTCTACCTATTTAGAAACTTAATTGTCACAAAAGACTCATTTCAAAAAAAAAAAAACCCATTTAGAAACTTAACTGGCTGAAACTGGGTCAAATTTGACGAAAAAATTTACGAAACTTCAGGGGACTTCAAGTCCCGTGAAGTTTAAGCTCCCCGCTAACAAAGCTGATTATAGGTATATAAGTTCACGGGACTTGAAGTCCGGTGAAAATTTTGAATTCGGCCAACTTCACGGGACTTCAAGTCCCGTGAAGTTTCAGGCATATATTTTGAATTCGGGGTTTGGGTAAGACGAGGGAGATTGGAGCGCATCACGTTTACGTACAACAAATATGAACCCTAATGCCATCTCCAACCCATCGCATCAAAATGGTACAAAAGTCACATCAAACAGTAATTCATCTTCAACCCACTACACAATTTTTTGCACCAAAAAAGAATATTCTCAGTATATTCTTTTTTATCTACTTTTATATTATTATTTTCTATTTTCTATATTTTTAATTATTTCAACAATTAACCCCACGTATCAAATATTATTTTTTCACATAATTTTTTAAACAAAATGATTTATTATTTAAAAAATTAAACTAATAAAACAATAAAATATTATTTTATTAATTAAAATAACTTGATTGTTAAAATATTATATTTTATTATTGATATTGCCAAAATATTACATTTAAGAACACAACATAAAATAAAATACAAGAAAATAATTAAACATTAACAACAATGTAAAAAATACAAATTTAATGTGCACTTAACTATCTGAATTAGTGTATTCCTCCCATAGATGATCTATCAATGCATTATGAAGCGCAATATGGGCATCTTTATCCTTGATTTGTCTGTAACGTGCAATAAATTGATTAAATCTAGTAGTTTCATCTACTACAATATCAACTTCTCGTGTTGGTGTTTCCCTCACTTCTTGAATTGGTGCATAAAGATCACGTTCATCCTCGATTATCATATTGTGCATAATAATGCATGCAGTCATTATGTCATGTAATACATGTTTTTTTCCTAAAAACGTGTTGATCCTGTTACAATTGCAAATCATGATTGGAGAACTCCAAACGCACGTTCTACATCTTTTCTACATGCTTCTTGTTTCATGGAAAAATATTTTTTCTTTCTACCTTGTGGTTGTTGGATTGTTTGTACAATAGTAGCCTATTTTGGATATATACCATTAGCTAAATAATAACCAATATTATACTATTTTCCTTGAATAATATAGTGAGGGGGAGGAGCAATACCTTCAGCTAGATTAGAGAAAAGATTAGATGAATCTAGCACAATGATATCATTATTGGTGCCTGGCATACCAAAATATGTGTTCCATATCCAAAGATCATAATCTGCTACAGCTTTAAAAATAATAGTTGGTGACCCATTATGTCCTGTGTATTGCCCAGACCATGCCATTGGACAATTTTTCTATTTCAATGCATACAATCAAGATTTCCTAACATTCCTGGAAAACCACATTTTTACCAATATAGAGTAGCCTAAAAATATCATTAGCGTTAGGTGTTCGTAGATTCCGCTCTGCGAATATCTCCAACATATAACGATAAAATTTTGTCATACTTTCAATTGATGTTGACTCACCTATTTTAATGTATTCGTCTGTAACATTAGATGGTAGACCGTATGCCAACATACGAAAAACAGCTGTTATTTTTTGTAACGGTGATAATCTCATTCTACCAAGTCCATCACTTCGTTGTTGGAAGTAATAGTCATGATCTTTCGGTGCATTAACAATACGAAGGAACAAACTTCGTGACATCCGATATCGACGACGAAACATATCTTCACCAAAACATGGATTATCGGCAAAGTAATCTATGATCAAATTCTGATGCGTAGTTTCTCGATCGCGCTTGATCACTGCATGACCGGGAATCGAGCCACCATGGATTGGTTGGTAGTTTTGTTGACATAAATTGTTAGCGAGGATCATGTTGTTGTTAATGTACTCACGAGTTACTTCTTCGGTTTCATCAAGCTCTGTAAATAATATTTTTTAAAAAAATTATCATCATCCGAAGATGAGGATGATGATAAATATGATGGACCTCCAGCATCAAAATTTATTTTTGAAGTAAGAAAAGAATGACTGAAGTATGCAAAAATAGAGTATAATAATTTTAACACAACAACAAATAATTGTGTGGAGGTACCTAATCTAGTATGCTATTTATAAAAATTTGCATAGCTATATATGTTGAACAATGTGTAAAGCTGAGCTTATTTCAGGAAATAATTTCCAGCTGTTATCAATTTGTCACAAAATTTAAATTTGCTTAGCTATATACGTTAGACAATGTGTAAAGCTGAGCTAATTTTAGAAAATGATTCTCGCTCATATAAAGTTTTCACACAATTCAATGAATGCTTAGCTGTATATGTTGGAAGACAATGATAAAGCTGATCAGTTTCAGAAAATGATTCCCACTCATATAAAGTTTTCACACAATTCAATGAATGCTTAGCTGTATATGTTGGAAGATGATGATAAAGCTGACCAGTTTCAGAAAATGATTCTTACTCATATAAAGTTTTCACATAATTCAATGAATGCTTAGTTGTATATGTTGAAAGATGATGATAAAGCTGACCAGTTTTAGGAAATGATCTCCACTCATATAAAATTTTTATACAATTCAATGAATGCTTAGCTGTATATGTTGGAAGATAATGATAAAGCTGATTAGTTTCAGAAAATGATTCCCACTCATATAAAGTTTTCATACAATTCAATGAATGTTTAGCTCTATATGTTAGAAGATGATGATAAAGTTGACCAGTTTCAGAAAATGATTCCCCTCATATAAAATTTTCACACAATTCAATGAATGCTTAGCTGTATATGTTGGAAAATGATGATAAAGCTGATCAGTTTGTACACAACAATTCAATTTCAAATGTTGACCACCGAAAAATTCAAATTCAAATTAAAAAAAAAACAAATTTGAATTGTCTATAAATAACATTCGCGAATTCTACTTCAAACCACCCAATTCGAAGTATTTCTTCAAAGTTTTTCTACTCTCCAAACCAACCGCTTTTTACAAAAAAAATATCTGTTCGATCATCTTGATACACGGTTACTAAAGATGTGCTCCTTTGTCAAGTATTCATGGATATTTCTCAAGGCCCTATCATCGGTAGAAACCAGTCTCGAGATGCATTTTGGTCTCGTGTGGAGGACATATACAATGAACTTCGAGATCAGCATTTTGAGGTTCGTACGAGCCGATCAGTTCGTTCTCGAATGGAAATCATAAGTAATGAAGTAAGAAAATTGAATGCGTGCTTGAGACAAGTAGAAAATATGAATCCAAGTGGTGCTTCAGATAAAGATATTGTAAGTATTCTATTAATTATCTTTTGAAATTTATTATTATTGTTTGGTTCTTGCATAAATAACATCTTTTCTCGAACTAACTGCAAATTATAGTGAACATCAAGTTATGTATTTCAACAATAATAATAAATTTCAAAAGATAATTAATAGAATACTTACAATATCTTCATATGAAGCACCACTTGGATTCAGATTCTCTACTTGTCTCAAGTACGCATTCAATTTCCTTACTTCATTACTTATGATTTCCATTCGAGAATGAACTGATCGGCTCGTACGAACATCAAAATGCTGATCTCGAAGTTCATTGTATCTGTCCTCTATACGAGACCAAAATGCATCTCGAGACTGGTTTCTACTGATAATAGGGTCTTGAGAAATATCCATGAATACTTGACAAAGGAGCACATCTTCAGTAACCGTGTATCAAGATGATCGAACAAACATTTTTTGTAAAAAGCGGTTGGTTTGGAGATTAGAAATACTTTGAAGAAATACTTCGAATTGGGTGATTTGAAGTAGAATTCGTGAATGTTATTTATAGCCAATTCAAATTTGTTTTTTTTTTTTTTTGAATTTGAATTTGAATTTTTTGGTGGTCAACATTTGAAATTGAATCGTTGTGTACAAACTGATCAGTTTTATCATCATTTTCCAACATATACAGCTAAGCATTCATTAAATTGTGTGAAAATTTTATATGAGTGAGAATCATTTTTTTAAAACTGGTCAGCTTTATCATCATCTTCCAACATACAGCTAAGCATTCATTGAATTGTGTGAAAACTTTATATGAGTGAGAATCATTTTCTGAAACTGATCAGCTTTGCTAAGCATTCATTGAATTGTGTGAAAACTTTATATGAGTGAGAATCATTTTCTGAAACTGATCAGCTTTATCATCATCTTCCAACATATACAGCTAAGCAATCATTTTCTGAAACTGATCAGCTTTATCATCATCTTCCAACATATACAGCTAAGCATTCATTGAATTATGTGAAAACTTTATATGAGTGGGAATCATTTTCTAAAATTAGCTCAGCTTTACACATTGTCCAACGTATACAGCTAAGCAAATTTGAATTTTGTGACAAATTGATAACAGCTGGAAATCATTTCCTGAAATAAGTTCAGCTTTACACATTGTTCAACGTATAAAGCTAAGCAAATTTTTATAAATAGCATACTAGATTAGGTACCTACACACAATTATTCATTGTTGTGTTAAAATTATTATACTCCATTTTCGCATACTTCAGTCATTCTTTTCTTACTTCAAAAATAAATTTCGATACTGGAGGTCCATCATATTTATCATCATCCTCATCTTCGGATGATGATAATTTTCTAAAAAATATTATTGCAGAGATTGATGTAACCGAAGAAGTAATTGCTTGGTGGAAATTTTGTAGTAAAAGAAATGAAGAAAAATTGATTTGTATTCCTTTAATCTCAGTTACAATTGGATTTCCTGAGTACAAAAGAGAGAAGAATGAATCTGGATTCTCCCCTTTGTTTAATTATGGGTTCTTCACGGTGGCGATGGAGTGCTTTCCTTGAATGCTCGCGTCGAATTTGCTCTCTGTTGACGATCTGAACGTCTTGGTTCACTGGAACGTGGTCTTCTCCTCACGATTTGACGCTGTGGAGGACTTGCGTGGCAAGTTTAAAACTCTTGATGAGTTGATTGATCTTAACCGTAATTGGTTAGACAAGCCAATGATCTCTTCTTTGCTGCCCAAGAGAAGGATGAAAGATCCCCCCAAAGATCTCTTCTTTGCTGCCAAAAAGAAGGATGAAAGCTCCAGCCCCTCCAAACTGATTTTTCAGTTATTTATAGGGGATTAAGGGGTGTAACCGCCCCCTTAATTCGCTCCTGAGTAGGGCTAATGCGATATAACCATCCCTTAAATCACTCCTGGTGGAGTTGTGATCCCTCAGATCGTGGGAAACGGTTTTGAAACCGTTCAGCTTGTGTTTGAATGAGTCAAACGTAAAATCTGTGTTCTGGTATGAATTCTACGTTCAAACGCAGTGTTTGGAAGCTCAGACGCAGCAATTGGAAGCTGCGTTGGCTGTTTGTTGGAAGTTGCGTTTGGCAGCGGATGGAAGCTGTGTTTGCCAGCGGATGGAAGCTGCGTTTGGCAGCGGATGGAAGCTGCGTTGGTAGCTTTCGGAGGCTGCGTTTGCAGCCGAACATGAGCTGCGTTGGCGGCTGGATCTAAGCTGCATTTGCAGCATTTGGAGCTGTGTTTGCGCTGCGTTAGTACCCGAGCTTGAGTTGCGTCAATGGCTAAAAACACTGTGTCTTGATGCTGGTACGCGGGGAGGACTTCCGCGTCTTGGTTTGAAGAGATCGTCGATTTGTAGTCTCTTTCTGTCAGAGCGTTACAAAGATCGTCATTTTGTAATCTTTGCTTTAGCTCTTTGATATGTGAGAGTCGTCAGATTGTAACTCCCGATGTTGATTGTGAAGGATGTTGATTAGAGCTTTCATCAGTTGTTGTGAAGGTCGTCAGATTGTAACCTTCATCGATTTACATGCAAGTCTTTAAATTATAGCCTTCTGGAAGCCGTCAAATTATAACTTCCATCATCGGTGTTTGATGGGGATCAACTATCTGCAGTGATTTTTAGACAGCCTACAGAACCCCCTCCAAAGTTTTTGAAAGTTCGCGGTTTACTGAGATGAATTTTTGAAATACTTTGGATCTCAACTCTGATCTTGGAGCTTTTGATTCCTTGTCATAAGGAGTTGTTCTTTACATCCGCTTCAAAGGCATCTTGGTTGAAGAGATTTTCCACGCATGACCTGTGTGATGATGAGCTTCAAATAGAAACTGTAGCAACGGTACAAGCTACTCATGAGCAGAAGCTATCAAACGTCACGTCACGGCTCACCTCCATTCAGCTGATGGGCCCGCAAATATTCATAGGATTTTTGGCAAACCCTCAGCCATCAACGGATTTAATAAGTCTTTACCGACTACCATTTGAGTCGGGCTAGCACATGTATCATCTAAGTCCGTTCCACATGTAACGTTGTGCT